AAAAAAACTTATTGTGACAGCGGTGCCATTTAGTATTCGAGCTTTATTAGCTCCTAACAGCATTCACGCAAAATCGTCACTGCGTCAGCCAGAACAGAACTCCGACAGAAAAAGTATCCGGAACGATGCTTCGAGGAGCATATTACCGACGCGAAGAGCGCTTTGGCCACGTCGCACAGTTCCCTATAGAACCATCGGATAATAAACGCTGAGCAAATCGGCGCATTGGCCGCCTACGTAAATCACGCGCTAGAGTACATCTCTACCGCCATTTCCAACAGCGAGAACGAGGTTGCGTGGAGGAATAACCGCCACCAGTACGTCGATCAGGCTAAGCGACAGCTTCTGTTTAGAGCAAATAGGGTCTGTCTCGATCTCGGTGAAACAATTATACGAGTAATTTCTTCGGTACAACTATTCCTAGGACTAGCTTATCTACTACGAGTAGCAGTAGGTGGTCAGTTCCGCGAATTCGTCGACCATTGCCCGACCCGGACTGAGGCAGCTGAGCCTTTGAGAGGAGACATCGCGACAGCCGAGATGGAGGACATCCTCACCCATGTATCCCCGCAGTCAAGTCCAGGCGTACACGGTGGCTGTGCGATATACCGCTTCTTCGGTCACAAGAGACTACCAATTTTTCACGCCGTTTACTCGTTGGGCGAGAAGCACAACAAGATAAAACAGCTATGGAAGGTTGGTGCTGCTCAAGTCATCTATAAACGTGGTGATCGAGAGCGACCGGAATACTGGAGATCTATACGCTTGCAACCAGCTATCTACAAATAATACTCGGGGTCCGCTGACGCGGCGTTATATGCTGTGGACGGAGACGAACGAGCTACTGCCTAAATCCCAGAAACAATTTCGGATGGTGAATGAATGTCACTAGCACAATTTTATCGTTACTTGTAGGCTCAACAACGCCAAGAGAACGAACAAGAAGTTATACGTCGCTTAGTTCGACTTAATCAATGTTATTGGTTCCGACCCGCAGGAGCTACTGTTATCGATGTTGGCAGGGATGGAGGTTCTAGTCACCTTTATTCAAGTCTTGTAGAACATTTATCACGACAGCTACTACGTCTTAATCCATCCGGCCGGCAGTTCAACCACGGGACCTGTCCTCCAGAATGCCGGAGTGTATAAGGGTTGTCCATGAGCCCGTATCTGTTGCTCGCAGCCATCTCACCGCTACTAAAGGTGCTCGAGGCCTTAAGCGACGCTGGCTTTCCGCTAGTGAAGGCCAGCCCGATGACCTGTACCTCGTATACAGATGACTTGAAGTTGGACAGCCCTCCGTACGAACCCTGCTAAGTGCTTGTTCGTTTAACAGGCCCTTCTTTGTCAACCGTCAACAACACATGATCCTACGACTACAGGGTAATGAAATACTAGTGGTCATTCCTACTGGGTACAGCTATCTCGGTGTTGGTGACGGTTTGGCCCACTTCTGCCAGGGTATGACCCAAATCTGCCATCAAGTCCAGCAGTCGACAAGCTTCTGTGAACTAGACAGGAGATCGATGCACTAATGCGTTTCGGCCTAGCACCAGCCCAAATACAAGGCGATCAAAACAAAACCTACAACTACCCTCAACTCCTCTATATATAGCGCCACGTGCGGCCGTCCGTGGCGCAGCTACAGAACTTCGATGCAGCGTCCGTCCGTCGTGTAAAGCATTTCACTCTGATTTCGGTGTTTAGCGTCGATACTGTCCATGTTACCCCGTCTTTACAGGGTCATTATTCCATTTGAGCGGGCGAAAAATGTGGTGTATTCATGTAAAGATAATTGCCGCTTGTAAGGCCTGCGCAGAGGATGGTCCCCTCGCGGTTTGGCGCAGCCTGGACAGGCGCGAGATCTCGCTCTTGCGGGGTTTCGACTAACCAAATCAAACACTCTCGACGCTCGGCCAAGTTCGATTCAGCTCACCTCTTGCACAAAATATCTTGTGCCCTCCACCAAAGGATGGACTACGGCGCGCGAGCGCTTTTTACAGGTCACCGAGGCAAAGACTACTCGGATAGAAGTATCACAGCAACTGGGCTGTACGGCGTAACGGCCATCGAGCTTGGCGTGGCTTGTTCTTTCTTCGCGCTGTGCAAGATCTTCTGCCCTATCCAGGCCAACCTAATCTCTTGGCACTACCAGTCGAGTACCCTACAAACTATGCCTGTGGGGGATCGACGGCAGACGTAATCCGGCCCTGTGCAGGCAATTATCAGAAATGTGTACACGTGTCTTGGACAAGGAAAATTCTGCTCTGTTGTCTGTTATCCTTCGGGTGTCCCTTTGGGCTTCTCCTATTATCTCATGTGCTTCTTTTACAAATATCAAGTGAAACGAAGTCGCTTCGTTCCTCGTCGAGTCCCTCCCGCTGAACTCGGCGACTGTTGAATTCAGAGGCCATCCGGATAATAGTATCCGTACGATACGCCAAGTTCATACTGCGATCCACATCTTCTTAGCGCATGGATACATATGCTTCACAGGCTTTTCGTCACCAAAATCGGCGTGGTGCAAAAATATGAGTTTCCGTAACCCACATAGAGCTATTTTTCCCAATCACTCCCTCTCTTGCGCTCCACGCCTCCTAATAGCTAATGCTCCTGGTAGCACCGACCCCGTTGTACTTATGCTTCTCGACAAGGCTTGGTTCATTTATCTCCATTATGTGATCTTTACCGCCAATCTTCGTGCAGCCTAACATGCAATGGAAGCAACTTAAGCAGATTATTTACGCAACTTCAACTTAAACTCGGCCTTGAGGAGTTTCTTTGGAGCTCGTCGCGTGGCAATACGCGTGCCATGCACTGAAACTCGCACACATCGATCATCTCCATCTCTTGTACTTGAGAGAGTCGCATGGAATACGCTCACGAGGAGACGAGCCGCACGATATAGCTTCAGTTTGACCTTGTTAAAGAAAGACCATGTAAGTATGCCAAGAGGCTCTCCCTTCCCACCGGTGTGCTTCGCCCGGCACAAGCACCTCCAACGCTTTCGAGGCACCAAACCTTCATGGGGCTTCCTCAGCTTGCACACACCTTCGCTCAACAGCCCATTCTCGGCCCGTTATCGCCCGCCCGCTATTGTTTGCTCGTCTTCCGCTTGCTGCTGAGGTCATCCCTCCTTGAGTGAACCCATATCAACGGCCGGCGCTGCTGTTGGTCCTTCGCTGTCTGTACTGCCATCGTCCCATCGCCTTTCGCTGCTACCGTTATCTACCCTTGGTGACCCTGCTGCTGGCTACCTCCATTTCGACTTACCCACCTGTTGGAAGCCTGTTACTCAGTCTCAGCGTACTTCACCGTTTCCCTGTCCCAGTCTATTGCTCCAGCTCGCCGTAGTATTTCAATACTAGCACTATATGTTGGTGGTTTAGAGTCTAGTGGGCTTGCTTTTCAATAGTATTCAAAACTTAGTGAACGACAACGTTGTGACCTTTGATTTTGACGCCAAAAGTGGGCGTGTTTTACTGGAGAGGTGCCTACTCAAAGTGTACGTAACATAGTTTAATTTTTTTCACAATTGAGAAAATCATTTCCATTTTTTATTCTAAAACAGTGGGCGTGACTTCATCATCGCCACCAACAGTGGAGGTGATGTCGCTGGTCGCTGGGTGACTGCATAGGGCAATACCCAAGACGGGCCAGTTCGAGTTGAA